GTTGCAAAGCTATATCAAATGAGGTACCGAAATAGACGTCATTCTTCAGTCCAAATAATTCATATTATAAAAAGACGAGTCAGGAGAATGATTATTCACCGAGTCAAAAGGCGATATAATGAAAATCGTTTAGATGCACACACCATAGCCACTTTAGCTATGGTTCATATGAATTCTCACATTAGTTGTCGGGAAATAGAGTGTCAGTTAGGAGTGCCAAGATCAACAGCACATAAAATTTTGCAGGGTTGAATAGTATCAGTAAGTTAAAAAGTTAAAAAATTAAATAATTTTAACTTAACTTAGTTAAATTTTATCTATAACTATTAACTTATAATATAATATTTTTGAAGTTAACTATAAATAAAGGAGTCATAAGACGCTGCACACCTGCCTACAAATAATGACTTTTGAGCTGCGTTTAGAAACTTCATCTAGGATCTGCATCTGGATATTATTTTATTCTTGTTTAACATTCAGTGAATAACAAGAATAAAATAATGTACCGTGAATTTCTGAACGCAACCGTCGCAGCCCTGTGTGTTTATTGGGTATCGCGTGTCACATGCGACAAACAAACATATCGCTGGTGTGTAAAATGCAGAAGACATTTGGTGTGTCAAAGTGATTAGTCTCAAGTTTGTGGTTACAGGGATTGTGGAATCGCGGAGAAACATAAAAAACTATTAATGTTATTTATAAAATAAAAACCCTAAAATCAAGAAATAAAAAAATTTAATTTTTAACTTTTCAATTACTTTTTTTTATTAACTTAACTTTTAATTCAATTAATTTCATTATGGATTAACTTGTAACTTAACTAAGTTAAATTTTTAGGCTGTTAACTTTAACTTAACTTAGTTAAAAAAAATTAACTTGCCTAACTCTGGAATTTTGAGATCCTGTAGGTATCATCCTTATCATATTACATTAGTTCACGCCTTAAGCAAAGCTGATCGAAGGCACAGGGTTGCGTTCTGCCGATGAGTTGCAAATCAAATTTCTTCAATTTCGTTATGTTTAGTGATAAAGCAACATTTTTCAGTACCGGCATATTGAACCGACACAATAGTCATTACTGGTCGATGCAAAATCCAAGATGGTATCAACAAGTTGACAATTAACATTGTTGGTCTTTAAATGTGTGATGTGGAATTTTAAATAGACAGATCATTGGTCCTTATTTCTTCAATCGCACTGTTACAGGTGAAAATTATTTAAATTTGATTCGAAACAGACTGCCGGAGCTGCTACAAAATGTTGATCTCAACATGCGACTAAGGATGTGGATTCAACATAACGGAGCACCCCCGCATTATTCCCGCATTGTAAGAGATTTTTTAAATACACGTTATGCACATCAATGAATTGGTCGTGATGGATACGTCGCCTGGCCTCCAAGATCTCCGGATCTTACACCTATCGATTTTTATTTGTGGGGTATACAGGGTGTCCCATTTTAATCGATCACCTCCAATATCTCTTGAACGGTGCATTTTATGGAAAAATGTTTCAGACAAAAGTTTTGGGACTTCGAGGGGGACATAAGATAATAACATTGGTTTGATCCTGAGTGGCGTCGTCAAGGTTAGGACAAAGTCACTTTGAATTTTTTAAATGAAACCCCCAATTTTTCATTACATATTTTTATAGCGCACCTCGAGAGCTTTCCAAAACAAATAAATACAATATTTTTTTATGAAATAAATCTTGGGTTATGAAGCTTGAAAGTTGGAGTACCGTCGACATTAGCATCATCCAAGGTGTCCGAACACTAGCTAAAACCTTTTGAATGTTGTTTAGGATCATGAAATTGATAAAATATGTGAAGATCATGACCGTTGGAAATTATTTTTCTTTTTTTTAAAAAATAAGTATAATTTTCAAAAATTAAAATAAAAGCAATAACCTTTAATGGCCTTGATCTTGACATGTTTAGGTCATGATCCTGAACAACATTCAAAAGGTTTTAGCCAGTGTTCGGACACCTTGGATAACGACCCCTGTCCAGCTGGCCTCCCCCCCACGCAGAAATAAAAAAATTAATAGCTCAAAATTAAAAGCTATTTATGAGCTATCAAACCCCGCAAGTTAAAAATTTTAGCTCGTCTGCGTTAGCAAGAATTTTGATATAAAGGTTTGATATAAAAGGGGGGGGCTGAGTGGACGTCCGCTCAGCCCCCTCCCCACTCCTTACAATTAACAACAGGGAATCGATCATGGGCACATAATTAGGAGCTCTTTATGAGCTCTCAAATCAGTGTAATTTTGAATTTGAAGCTCCATCCCTTATCTCGAAACAGCTCCAAAACTAGTTTAAGCTCAAGAGATAACTCAGGAAAAAAAGCATTGAATCTACCATTTCATTCAACTATATACTTTCAACATTAATTTGCAACAAAAATCATATATAACATTTTATTTATTAGCAGTAACCCCCCAGCAGAGAAACCACCCCTTACGTTCGGCGATCAAGAAAGAACTGTGCTTAAAAATCGATAAATAAATTATTTCACACTGGAAAGTTATCTGTTGATTTATCAGCTCTCAAAATATACATAAATCGACTTTCGAGCTACAACCTCTTGGCTGGGAAACCATTCCTTACGTTCGGCGATCAAAAGGGAACTATACTTAAAAATCGATAAATAAATTATTTTCTGACGGAAAGTCATTTGGAGATCATAATGGATGAAGCAAAAACTTGGCGTGCCCGGATTGCATTAATTAGATGTATATCGGGCACGCCAAGTTTTTGTTTCATCCATTATGATCTCCAAATTGCCCTTACGAAAAAGACGCACGGGCTAGGGATTGTAATTCATATAGTTATTGTAATCCCTCACGAAAATATTACATTCGACGGACCACACGCGTGTAGTTATTGTAATATAAATATTACGGCGGCCAACTTATTACAGTAGCGACACATATTATAAGACGGTACTACAATTTAGTTATTACACAGATCGGAACATACACACGTGTGGTTACTACAGTATGTATAATATTATAAAAAAGTTACAATATAATACATACTTTAATTCATATATACAT